GTTTTAACTTTTTTCATTGAACATTTTGTTATTCTATTATTTTGAATTTGTTCAAATTTTTTGATATTTTAATATGGTAAAAGTTTCAAAATTCTTAATTTATGTAAAGAATTTTAGATTTTTTTTAGACAATGTAGATTTCATATCAGTTTTAAATATAAATACTAATGAAATTTTTAACTCCATTTGTAGTCATTAAATCACACGAATGACAAACTTAAACATGCGAGGAAATAATAAACATATATTCACTCAAAACAAACATAAATATTTGCAGAGATTTGTAATTGTACGAAAGAAAAAAAGAATTTAAAATCAAAAGGAAATTGGTTGAAATTTTGGGTTGTATTTTTTCAAAAGATAAATGTTTTATGGTTGTAATAACCGTAAAAGATAAATATTTTATGGTTGTAATAATCGTTTAGGGTTATTTTCAAAGGTTGCGTCTTATCGATATAACCACCTTTTGAAATGTTGCTTTTCCCGATATAACCGCTTTATGATTATTTTTAAGGATTAAGTCTTTTCGATATATCCGTTTTACGGTTGTATCTTACGGTTTTGTCCTTTCAAAAAATAGTTTATAGTTATTTCTAAAAGTTGCATCTTTTCACTATTACCGTCTTTTTAAGAGTTGCGTATTTTTTATATAAGCGTTTTACGGTTATTTCCAAGAGTTGCGGATTTTGAAAAACTCCGTTTAAATATTTTTGAATTTCTAAAGACAGGAAATATTTAGGGTAAGTAGATCTCTAAATAACATTTGACTTATCATAATCTAATGGCATATTGAATTCAACCATTTTATAACTATAGTTTATTAACTAGAAATCCGAAGTGTATAAAAACTATACATTGGACAGTAAACTCACATATGAAATTTAACTCTACAATTTTTAAAAATAAAATAAAATTTAAGATATTAATCAATGTTATTTAATGGTATTAAAATTAATTAAGCTTGTTATGTTATTAATAATAGAAATCCTAAAAAATATAATCTTTTCAGAAAAAACCGTTTTATGGTAATTGTAACATTTTAGGGTTACATTTTTTCGAGAAAAACTTTTGTATGGTTATTCAAGCATCTAAGGTGTATTTTCGAATTAATAATAACAATCCTAGAAAATATCTTCTAGAGTTGCATCTTTACAAAAATCATTTTATGGCTATTAAATTATTCTAGGGTCGCGTCCTTTCGAAAAAATCATTTGATGGTTATTAATACATCCAAGAGTTGCGTCTTATAATTTTTTTTTATGATTATTGAAGCATCTAAGGGTTGCGTCTTTTCAAAAAAATATGTTTTATGGTTATTAATGCATCAAAGATTGCGTCTAAAACATCTAACGTTGCGTCTTTTCAAAAAAATTGTTTATGGTTATTAATGCATTATAGGTTTACGTCTTTTCAAAAAAAATATTTTATGGTTATTAATGCATCATAGGATTATGTCCTTTTAAAAACATTATTTTATAGTTATTAATGCACCATAGGATTGCATATTTTTGAAAAAATATGTTTTGTGGTTAGAAATATATCATAGGGTTGCACATTTTTAAAACTCCGTTGCATTTTTTTCGAAAAAATCCGTTTTATGGTTATTAATGCATCCTAAGGTTGTATTTTCTCAAAAAAGCGTTTAGTGGTTGTTAATGTATCATAGAGTTATGTCTATAGTTTTATGTGAAAATGTATCATAAGATTGCATCTTTTAAAAAAAAACTGTTTAATTTTATAGATGTGAAATTACTGTCTAAATCTTAAAATGATATCTAAATTGTTTTCTTCTTCATTACATACTCTTCATAAGTGTGATTTGAGTTACCTCAACTTTACAATTGATAATAACTATGCTTTGAAATCCATTAGAGATGATTATGGATTTTATGTTCGCATGCATGTATGTCAAAAATAAATTGTATCTTTGGTTCTCGAAAAACCGTATAGTGGTTGTTGATGTATCATAAGATTGTTTCTATCATTTTATGTGAAAATGTATCATAGGATTGCATCTTTTCGAAATAAACTTTTAATTTTATGGATGTTAAATTACTGTCTAAACCCTTCAATCAGATCTAATTGTTTTCTTCTTTATTACATACTTTTTATAAGTTTGATTTGGGTTACCTCAACTTGATAATTGATTATAACTATGCTTTAAATTCCATTAGAGATGATTATGGATTTATGTTTGCATGATTGTGTGTCGAAAGTAAATTGTATATTTGGTTGTGTTGGCAACAATTTTTTAAAAAAATATATAGTCATAGGTTCTTTACCTCCGCGATTTCGCAGAGGGTTCAAGTCCTAGTATATACAATACAAATGGTGTAGGAAAATCAATACTTCAGATCAATTATACCCGTGCGTCTGTAATACTAGTTTAGTATAAAACTCGATTTAAAATCAAATTATTAAAAACCAATATGTAACCAATACCCGGCAAACAAAACCTAGCTAGACCTAAACTGTAGTTTTTGAGAATGTTTCCAGATCTAGATTTTCAACCTCCTATCTATCTCTCGATCTTCAAGAAAAGTTCCAATGAACATTTTGCGTTCAATAAAATCAGTGATACAAACATGATCTATTTTGGAATTCGTTTAACGATTGAAGAAGAAATGAGTTAAATCTTTTTCAAATCCATTTGAAACACATCTTATTCTAAGTTTGCGGTACTTATAATGTCAGAAGATTGGCCGATTCTGTATTTTCCTCTCCGAATCGATGTGTCTACTATTTTTCTACATTAAATTTCTTTTGGATTCGTGAACTTAACAAAACTATTCTAGATTTATGCTTGGCAGTTCTGGTGGCATTGCAATTTATACTTCTTCATTAGTTTCTCTTTAATGTTCTCGAGCTTGTATCTTAGCTAACATTCTCGTTTCTTTCCCAGGGTAGTTAAATTTGAATTTTGTGTTGTTTATCCATTTTAGAATAAACAAAAAAGTAGTTCGAATATATTTTTTTAAGGGAAATTGTAATTTAAAAATAATATGAGTTCTCCATATGCTTTGGGATCTAGTATTTCAAGTTTATCAAGTTTATTATGTTCGATTTTGGATCATAGTTTATTGTGGGGTATTGTTTATGAAATTGGTTTGGTTTAATTTTGATTTTAAATACGATTTTGGCTAAACTGAAGTGCAACAGTCAAAATCTAAATGCATGTAGTAGTAGATCAATTTTCAAATTTTGTGTAATTATGGAATATAAAATTTTGATCGACGCTAAATTTTGTGTAGTTGGAGTTAGAATCCAAAATTTATGTGAGACTGTAGATCGATTATCTTTTGAAAATTTTAACTGAAAGTAAAAAAGAGAAGATAGGAGTAGAAAACTATAAGTCTCTTTACTATTAATCAAATCAAAGGGGGGAGGAAATGACGAAGTTCTGGACACTAGCTATCGTAAGTATATCTAGGACCTAAACAAACCAAAAATGGAAAGCGAAGTAGACAATGAATTAAAAAAAGAAGATGTACAAGGTCAAAACATAGAATTGG